CTTGAAGATGGAGAGTGTGCTTGAATGTTCTGAAAAGTGTTGGAAAGGAGAGAGTTTTGGAGATATTTTCAGGCACCACAAATTTACTTCATTCTTTTTGTTTTTAGTTTATTTTGAGAGTGTTGTAAAATAGAAGAGATTCAAAGGAACTTCAAGAGTTTCAAAGAACTTCAAGAGTTTGGTGGAGGATTTGAGATAAGTTTTTACCTTTTGTTTTTAAACTACTTTTGGTTTTAATCGAGACTTCTTGTTGGTTTGACAATGATTTCTTCTTTTAAACTAATGTGTGGTTTTGCTTTCTCCATGGATTTTGAGTAGTTTTCTTTATCTTTCTCCTTAAAATGAAAAGTAATTAAAGTGTTGGATGGATGTTGTGAAGAGTATTGATCTTTAATGTTGAAAGAAGTTGTGTTGATTTAAATCTATGAACATCATTTACTTTTTGATTTGACCTATACAGATTCTAAAATTTGTTGTGATAACATGTAAGAATCGGGCTGGTATTGTCTCAATCAACAATTAGAAAGAATCACATGATGTTGTATTGTTGTATACATGATGTTGTATGAATGAGAATGTAATTCATATGATTTAGTGCAAATAAAGAGGGAGATAATCTTTGAAGTGTGTAGAGTTAGGGGACTTTAAAGTGACAGGTTAAAACTCTAAACTTGGTTTATTATTTTAGGTTCTGATACAAGATGTTAGCCCCCAGGTGGAGGGAATCGAGCGAACTCTAGAGTGAGAGCTGATATCTTCATATCTTCCCTTCTTCCCTGCCTAGTCGGTCTTCAAAACTATTCAAACTTTAAATTAGCCAATATTCTTTATAGCAGCTTTAGTAAGGGTAAAGAATATAATTGCTACTATTTGACACAACATAATTTGCATACTACCACAACAAAATTCCTATTCTTATTACTGATTCATGATAAGGAAAAAGATAGTTTCAAATTCAGTGCTTTTCTTTTACATAAACTCAAATTATCTTTTTAAATTGTTATTGTTTTGTCAAAATATCAAAAATACAAAAAAGATTTGAATTTTAATTACTGCGAATACATCTCTAGTTTAAGTAATTGTCTTTTTAAAATAGAAAATTTGTCTTTCAATAGAGCATATTGCGTATTTCCCTGTATATTCAGATCTTAATAAAAAAGTCCTATATTACTTGATAACGATATATATACTCCAATATATAAATTAAAGAGTTAAATTCCTATTTGCTTCTGGATCAAGTTTTGACTCTGTTGCAAAGTAAGAAAATATAGGTGAAAATATAATCAGAGACATTGTTATATTGTTGCATGTAAGCAGTAAGTCGGGATCAATACTCTACTTGCAAGATAACTAGAACATTGTAACACCATGATTCATAAATCTGTTTTCTTTTTTATAAGAAATGAGATCTAAATCCATCACTATCTGGGTATACTTGAACATGAATAATATTTTTTCTCATACAATAGAGTAGATACAAAACTTGTAAGACAACTAGAACATTGTAACACCATGGTGCAAAAATTTGTTTTATTTTCTTATAACAAATGAGATCTCAATCCATCATTATGAATTTTGTGTGGATTTCTCTTATTTCTTTTATTTTTGTTTAGTATGTCGAAATATGAAAGTTATGAACACTTGATTTATTGAGGATGATTTTCAATTTATTTGTATATATTTTTTCTTTCTTGATTATTGTTTATTGTGCATTTCCCTCAACTTTGTTTTATTATTGAAATTGCATAGGAAATTATTAGCGGTTGGCTTGGACGGTTCATTGACAACCTAAACTTTGGGTGGTTTGGTTAGTGTTTTTTGATTTTATTGATTTGTTCCTCTTATATTCACTGAGGATAATTCTTTGTTACTCTATGGTGAGCAAAAATATGGAATTGAGCATGAAGCATAAGAGGCTTTCTTTTTTTGTGTGATGTTCATGTGTGTTTGGTTAAAGTTTATGTGTGGTGTTATCTGTTTTTCTTTTTCTCCCTCTATGCAGTTTAGGGTCTTATTGGGCTCTCTTCTTTCTCCCTATATGAATCTTCCTCTCCACGTCTGAGTAGTGGTAGTTGAGTGATTACAAACCTAAGTTTTGATTTTCCTTTTATGAAGATACATGTCATGCTTCCTTTTATTATGCTGTTGAGCCATTTAATCTTTCTTTACAAGATATACAAATGATTATTGGTCAAGAATGTTTAGAGAAAAGGTGTTGATGTTCATGTATGTGGATGTCATGCAATTTGGCACTATGTGATGTTAAATAAAATGGAGATATACAATATTTGCTTGGATGCTTTAATTTTAAATCTAATGATGTATGTGAATGTCATGCAATTTTATATATGTTATTTCAAATATTTGAAATTTGATTTGGAATCAAAGGTTTTATACAAAGGGTTTTGATGAGTCATATGACCTAGGCTCTTCTAGAAAGCCTTAACACTGCTATGCATTTTATATATTTGAGTGTGTCCTACATTGATCCAAGCCAATCAATATCCTTTTCTATCTTGTTGCAATGGTTTAATTACATATTCTCTAACTTTTTATATTGATTTTGAGCCTTGAATTTATAAATTTTAACTTCCTATTTTTCAATTTTATGAATGGAGGATAGACTTATGTTTCAGAATTTTACCACTTTTCTTTTCTCACATGCTTATTTATTATTTCTTCACCAACGAGTTGCAACAAAAAAAAATAAGACAAGTTGGTTTTTCTGTTACAAGGGATAGAGAAATGTGCTTATTTTTTGTAATGTCTGCCTTCAAGAGGTAAAACTAGGTAATCAACTTGCAAATTATTTTAGTAAAGAAGACTGACAAATATAACACAAAATTTTCATACAAAAACTGGAAGATAATATGGCACGAGTCAGCTAAAAAATAATTAGGACCAACTAAAAAAAGATTTGAAGTTTTGGAAAGAGCTGAAATGTTGTCCAATTGGACTGGGCTGTGACTACAGAAAAATTACACTATAGTCTTTAAATGAATGGTGAAAGGAAAAATTAGAAGTGAAGTTACTTTTATTTTTATTTCTATGTTCTATAACTTGCTTGGAATGTACATGTCAGTATGACATTACTTTTATTTCACTAAAATGTGAATTGTTCCAAAAGCAAAAAAAAAAAAAAAAAAACAAAATTTTTTTTTAGGCATTGATGCTAAACTTCAGGAGAAGCTTGACATGATGGTCGGTGGAGTCATCGTCACTGTCAACCATGCATGGGCTCCAGGTCATAAAACCTTGATTGACTTAGATGCTCAAAAAGTATCTCAACAGAGCAATAATTCAAATGAACTTGAGAGAGATTCATACCATACCACAATTGAGCACAGTACATCCAGTCATACGAAGCATAAACAATCTATTGAACCTGTCATAAGAAGAAAGAAAACTATCATAGCATATTTCCTAAGAGAACAAATTTCTGAACTTGTTTCAATGTCTTTTGAGACAAATTAATCACGTGATCATATTTTCATTTTTAATGTCATTATAATGCTTGAGATGATCTTTGAAGTTTATGATGACATTCCACGCTATTTATTCTCTACCAAGTTGCTCGGAGATCCAACTAAAAGTGAGGTGTTTATGTTGATTGCAACTAAACGAATGGTTCATCACCTTTGGTTTTTCATGAATTCCAGAAAGCTCAATACATGTGATGAGTTAAGATTTATTAATTTGAAGTGATTTGTGATTGTTGTGCCTTCATATTTATTTTTGCCAAACTTTTAAGTATACCTATGTAGTGCTTATCGAGTATTTAGTGATGCATTACTCTTGATGTAGTATAATAATGAATTTTTTATTTTTTTTAACAACATAATTTTATTTATTATTTTGTTTGAATTATTTTTGAAACTGCAAACTGACAACTAAGGCACATATACATGGGCATTATTGTTTTTGTTCTAAGAAACAACTTCAACACAATTGATCATACAAACAGACGTACTACTTCACCAACATAAGCAGTATGTTCAAAGTTGTTTATTGAAACAACTGCAACTGCTGTAAACACAACATAAGCCTCTTTGATCCAATGACTTCTAGTAAAATGGACATTTGACAGCATTTATTTTTAGGTGTTCACCAACATCTAATTTCTAACAACTTATTCTAAAAGCAACTCCACAATTGTTTGTTGAACCAACAACAATTGCTCTGAACACACCCTTAGTCTCTTTGGTCCGATGACTTCTAACAAAATGAACATTTGTGAGTATTTATTTTTCAAGTAATGAAGATGACCAATTTTATAGTAGAATTCAACTTCAATGATTTTATGTAGTTTTCAACATTGATTAACTCGAGGTTTTTTTTTTTTTTTTTTTTTTTTTTTCCCTCTCAAAAAATTTTTTTAAAGCTCTAGTTGGTTATCCTTCCGATCATTGTTTTGGTGGTTTGTTTGGTGCCTTTTTTTTTTTTTTTTGATTTTTGCCATCTCAAAAAATTTTTTTAAGCCCAAGTCTTCCCAGGTCTCAACATAAGTTTTAGATTCAATTTATGTTAAGAAAGGTAGAGGTAGACGTAGGAAAACTTGGGTTTATTGTATAAAAAATGATCTTATTTTATTACAACTAAATGACAATATGGCACTAAATAGGACTCAATAGAGAAAAAGGATTCATGTAGCCAACCCCACATAGTGGGATTAAGGCTTTGGTGTTATTGTTATTGTTGTTGTTTAATTAAATTTTTTTAAAGTTTGACCACACACTTGAATTTATTTTACTATATATATTTCCAGAGAAGTCCTCAATATTAAAAAAGTTACAAACAGAAATCTGTTCTCATCTTGCCGTTGAAAAGCAAACGGGAAAGTGAGAGAAACACGGTAAAGAAGATATTATTTCATCTGAACATGAAAAGGTTATCTTTATCCTAATGGAGAGGGGTCAGCTACGGCCAATTTTAGCTGGGCATGCTTCCACATTTTTTGGTAAAATAGCTTTGAAGTGTTGCTACTTACTGGTTTATCGCTCGTGTCCATTTGTCTACATCCGTGCTCAAATGAGTCACATCTATGTTTCTCTTTCTCCCTTCGCCTTTCAGTTCTGACATTTAGCACAACGGAACTGTAGCCCGACCAGTCGGCCACGTTCTCCCTTTTTTTCTGTAGTTTTTATAAAAGATAAGGTACTTGTCTTTGCCTATCCTCCTCACCCGAGCTGAAATGGACAGGGGCTCAAGCTCTAGGGCCGGTAGCTCAGGGGACGCTTTCAAGGGTCTCCAGTTTGGGAAAAAGATCAGTTTTGACGATGTGAGTGGGGCTGAGAGTTCCTCGAAGTCTGGGACCGCTCCGGCGTCGCCGGATATGAGGCAGCTGGTGGCGGGGAGGAAGGCAAAAGGGGCGGCGCAGGGATGTGGGCAACCGCTCCCTCCGCCGAGATGCCAGGTGGAAGGGTGCAATTTGGATCTGAAAGGGGCAAAATCTTATTACTGCCGACATAAGGTTTGTGGGATGCATTCGAAGTCTCCTAAGGTGATTGTTGCTGGACTTGAACAGAGGTTTTGCCAACAATGCAGCAGGTTCTAATCTCTTCGTGCTTTCCAATCTTTCTTCTTGTTGTTTTGCTTTGTCTGTTAGGGTTTTAGTGATTGAAGAACAGTTCATAAGTGTTGGAATTCTCTTTTCTGTTATTCTGGTTTTCATTGTGGTAATTTATGTACATTCATTACTTTGGGACATATAGATCTCTTTCTTTTATCTTCTTCCTTTTTTGCGTATTTTCTTAAGAGCTTACGCCGCTGTTGCGTGGCTCTGACGGGGCGTTTTTTTGGGATGATTATGTTGCTTGCAACGTTGAATCTGTTTTTTCTGACTAAAGGTTTTATTTAGTCTGTTAGATCACATTCATTGGATCTTGGATGTTGTTTTTTTGATTTTGTATAGTTTTAATCTCCATCTGGTTCTGCTATTGTATTGTTGGATTACCCGGTCTTGTCACTGTTTCATGGTTGGATTCTTGTAATGTTGATTATATTTGGCATTCTTCTGTATACTTTTCTTTTTTTCTCTGTTCATGGGTTGTGAAATTAATAATAATCAAGACATGTATGCCTCTAATGGAAATTTTGTGCAGATTTTACTTTATCCCGTAAAACTGAAACTGAGCGTGGTAAAGTGGCAGTGGAGTTATGTGTAGAATAGGTAAAAGATTGGTTAAATGTATATGTGATAGCATAGCTAGATACCTGATAAAGGCTTAGAATTTTTATTTACAGCCATATAACCTGGTTAATTATATCTCATATAGTTACTTTTATGTACAGTTATGTACAACAACAACAATAAAAAGCCTTTATCCCACCAAGTCTATAGAATGTCATATTTTCATTTAATTCTAATTAAAGTTATGCATTTGGCATTTGTTTAGGAAAATTTTCATACATACCACGAAATTCATATGCATATACATATTTAACACCTAAAATTCAATTTTTAAATACCTGCCGTGGTACCTATGCATAAAATGATGTATTTCCCTTTTTGTATGCATAGAAGAGGTGGTTGATCGTAAAATGGAAGTTTAGGTGTTAGATATGAATATGCATAAGTATTCCATGGTATGTAAGTCAAAACCTTTTATTTTAATTTTTAGTAGTATATAGGTCACACACCAATTCCCTTTTTAGATGCATATAGATGAGCATGGTCACGGGAGCAAAAAAAAAAATCGGAATTATAAATTTGTGGTGAGATGAAGGTATTATTAGACATATTATAAACAAATTGCGTGTTTGATAAGTTACTTATGGCTCGGCTTGATTGAAGATTGTTTATGATTGTTTGATTAACTAATCAAATGAGTTTGAACACTTTAAGAAGCACTCGAGTACTAAACGAGCAAGTTTGAACAACTTGTTATGTTCATTATATTTGATGAGTGATATCATTTAAAGCCTGCGAACAAGCTTGCGTTCTTGTTCCATCAAGGCTCAGTTGAGGCTCAATTACAGCTTGTTCATGAGCAATATTTTTTAAATATTTAATTTTAGACTTAGCGAGCATTGTTTGATAAAACTTGTTTATTTTTCCAACAAGTTGTTTAAAGCTCTAGTAAGGCTTTGTTTAAGCTCAATTAAGATTCAATTAAGATTTAATTATGACTTGTTTATTTTGTTAGATAAATCGCTTGTTAATAAGATTTTTGATCTCTATATGAACCAAGCTCGAATCGAGCTCGAACATGATATTTATAAACAAACTCGAGCTTTAACATAGCCTTAAACGCTTGAATCGAGCTCGAGTTGAGCTCAAATAGGCTTTTAATATACTAGCTCTTGAACATGCTTTTGCTCGGCTCTGCTTGGTTCATTTGTAGTCCTAATATTAGATCAATGTTGAACATGCTTTTTTAGAAGTGGGCACACATGAACTTGCGAAAGGTTTTTATTTGTGTTAGAATTGTATGACCCTTGTGCCTAGTGGTCAAAATGTAAGGTTCAGAAGAATGGCTTTGGTGATTATTTGTCTGTTAAAGAATGATGGAATTGTACTAGTCAACTTATGTGATGGAGGCATGGAGGCAATAAGATCAATAACAATACAAATTTGGTAGCCCCACTAAGGTTGGAAGCGGTTAATTCTGTGTCTAGTTTATTTGTTATGGATTGAAATTATTTACATTTATTATCAATTATTGCTTAGGAATATTAGTAAGGAAAGAAAAAAAAAAATAAAAGCGAAATAATTCTATGGTAGATTCATGTTCAAATTCAAGCTCACATGTTTTCGTTGCTTTTTGTTGCTGAATGCAGAGTATGATTGGGTTAAATTTTAGTTGCTTGGAGGTGAACATTGCTCTTCCTTTTATGAAATGAATGTAGCGAACTTTTTTGGTTGAGGCTTCAACATTCAAATTCAGTAAACCATGATAAGCAAACTCATGTTTATTGTATTTCACATGGTTTTTCCACATCTTTTCTTAGGTTTTTTGATGAAGGGGTAGAATAGGGTTCGATATTTGTTTATCTTTTAGTAGAGAAATATATTTATTTAATGCATGGAATGAATGCAATAAATTATTATGTTTGAAGCTTCAATATGCAAGTTCAATGAAACATGAAAATCACTTCGAATTCACTAGCATGACTATAGGTATCAATGGATTTGCTCATGCAAAGTATAATACAGTAATACAATTCAGCTCTGTTCTTGGATTGTAATAAACCGAGATCAAACTGATGTGACCTCTATTCATGCTTTGTTAATATATAAAGCTTGGCTCTAGTTGTAATATGGTTGAAACATTTAGAGAAATAAATTTCTTTAAAGCATGGAATGAATGCAATAAATTATTATGTATGCAGCTTCAATATGCAAGTTCAGTGAAATGTGAACCAGTATGACGACTATAGGTATCAATGGATTTGCTCATGCAAAGTATAGTACGGTAATACAATTCAGCTCTGTTCTTGGATTGTAATGAACCAAGATCAAACTATTGTGACCTCTATTCATGCCTAGTCATCTAATTTTAATGTGATTGAAACGTTTTGAAGATGGGTTTTATAAAGCTCAGAGGGATCGTGCTCAACCCTTTCTAAGTTTTATTACAGTGCGAGGTTGCGTGGCTTAATTTAGGCTTGAACTCCGAAAACAATGAAAAAACCTAAGATGCAACTAGATGTAAATCCACAAAGTTTCCCAAAAAGTTAAAGAAAATTTAATTGTGCGCTAACACTTGAAACATCGATTAAAGAATCAGTTTTCCAAATCGTCAGCCACTTTCAACTTCATAAGCCATACTTAGAAAATTGATACACAATAACTTAATATTTATTAACACTCAAAGTAAAGTTGTAATGTACAACTTTGAGTAACCCGCGTAAATTCATTAACATGACTTTCTATGCTACAGTTTCAGTGCTATCGGTTATTATCATGAATAGGACATGTCTATTGAACCAAATTTCATGAACCATTCCCTTTGCTTGCATACATTATATATTACTAATTCAAATCTACATTTCATTACATCCATCAAAATTTCCATCTATTCCAGCCTGGAAATATTCCACCAGAGAAAAGTGTCAGTGCTATCGGTTATTATCATCAATAAGACATGTCTAGTGAACCAAATTTCATGAACCATTCCCTTTGCTTGCATACATTATATATTACTAATTCAAATCCATATTTCATTACATCCATCAAAATTTCTATCTATTCCAGCCTGCAAATATTCCACCAGAGAAAAGTGTCAAATGGTCCCCTAACTCTTTATAGAGGGGTCCCCTTAGTCCCAGAGTCTATTAAAATATTCCACCAGATAAAAGTGTCAATTGGTGTCTTTACTCTTTGCAGAGGGATCATTTTAGTCCCAGAGTCTATAAAAATATCAATTTAGTCTTTTAAGAGGGACTATTTCAGTCATATTAAAAGTGTCTGAGGATTAATTGGACATTTTTATAGATTATGGGACAAAAATGATCTCATGTAAATAATCAGAGACTATTTTGACACTTTACTCCACTGTACTAACCAAATAGCCATCACGATCATCCCCTCCAATAACTTTACAGTAGAAAGATAATATATGAAAATTTTCGAGCCAAAATATGATACCTATGTTGTACTAAATTTCATAGAAAGAGCTAAAATATATTGCATGCTTTCAAAATAACTCTACAATAAATGTCTTATAAACTTAAAAACTAGATCATCCAAGAGTGGAAAAAACTAAATGCATGCAGCTACTAAGGGAAATTTGAGAGGCTCAGATTCGAAGTTTAATATTTGAACTTAGCAATTAAAATGTAACAACATTTTATCACTCTTCCTATATAGGTACACTGGAAAGTTTGCCATAGATTGTCATAATTAAAGAATAAAAGGTTTTGGATTGGCCTTCAATTAAACTAATTGATTAAACCGAATTGGGTTATTCAAAGAACAAGTTGTGGTAATTGCTAAATCAGAAAAGTGACATCATAAAATTATATGTTTACATGAGATTCAAGATTTGTATTGAGAAAACTAATTAAGGGTTTATTTGGGAAAGTTTTTTGGCTGCTTTGCTTTTTAGACTGTCACCACAACTCTGTTTAAGGAATTACTTTCTTGTTGTTTTTTAGAAATTTCTGTAGTAGAAAGCTATTTTTTTCAATCAGACCTATAATGTGTGGTGGCTGTTAGAAACTGTAGTTTTAATTTTTGAAATTAAAATAAAATTGTAATAGTCACTGTAATTTTTTGAACAACAGTTTTTTCTGCAGCAAATTCACAGTTGCTTCTTCAAACAACAATAGTTGCCCCAAATAGATCCTAAATTGAACTGAAATGAATGTTCTGTTTGAGGTAGCTGCAATTGTTTGATGAAGCAGTTGTGAAACTGTTGCAAAAGAAACTGCTGTTCAAAAAGCAACGGTGACTATTACAATTTTTTTTTAATTTTCAAAAAGACTGCAACTTTGTGACAGCCATCGCACTTAGCCAAGTTTGGTTACAAAACACAACTTTCCATCACAGTTTTTTTTGACAATGTTGGCAAAACACTGTTTTGCCAAATGCCACAAAGTGCAGT